TCGACTGAACTTAACTCTGTGTTAGACTTATGTCGTACCCACTACCAGTTTAAGAGGATTTATTCACTAAACTCAATGGTGGCACATGTTTCGCGAGACTAAATCTTGCCGATACATGAATACAAATGGATGATTGCAATGGATAATTGCAAAGAACTCCTTACGATTAACACAACGCAGGTTATTCCAATTTAATCGTTTACCATTTGGTGTAAAATCGACACCAGTCATATTCTGGCAAACAATGGATTCCATGTTAACTGGGATATCAGGTGTAGATGCTTAATTTGATGATATTATCCTCACGGACTGCAGTCAGGAAGAACTATCACATCGCCTACATTGCGTACACGATCGAATTCAATAATATGGTTTACTATTCGCGTAGAAAATGTATTTTCCTTTTAAACTCCGTTACATATCTCGGATTTATTTTCGATAAAAGTGGTCGTCATCCCGATCCAGGAAACATTTCTGCCATCCAACAAATGCTCCCCCCCCCGGACTGATCTAACTACACTACGGTCTTTTTTCGGATTGGTATTCTATTACATCATTTCCGAGACCCACTCAACCATCTGTTAAAGAAGGATGTGCTGTAAAATTGGTCAAACGAATGCCAGTCCGCCCTTGACAAAATTACATCACTCCTGAATTCTGACTCGCTTCTCACACATTACTACTCCGCTCTGGATATAGTTGTCGTTTCAGACGCTTCCAATTACGGAATCGGTGCTGTCATCTCTCACGTTTTCACACTTGGTTCTGAAATCGCAATCGCTCATGTGGCCAAGTCATTATCTGTTACGGAAAGAGTTATGACCAGGTAGAAAAGGAAGCTCTAGCTATCGTCTTCGCTATCAAGAAGTTTCATAAAATGCTTTATAGATGTTATTTTACCGTCAAAACGGATCCCAAATCTCTACTCAGTATCTTCGGATTCAAGAAAGGTCTCCTAATGTATACAGCTAATCGACTTCAACAATAGGCTGCTATGCTACGGGGGTATGATTTTTCCATTAAACACCAGTCGACTGAGGATATTGGTCAAGCAGATGCTTTGTCACGACTCATGGAATCTCACCACCAACCGCCTGACGATACAGTTGTCACGTCAGTATCCCTAGAGCCAAAAATTCGCACCATGCTTGCTATTTAAGTCCGCGTGCTGCCAATTACCTCTACCATGATCCGTGAGTCCACTGCTCATTATCCGTTGCTACAGGAAGTTATTCGTTTTCATCGCACTTACTGGCCGTCATCGTGCCCTTCTCATCAACTTCAACCTTTCTACCAACGTCGTTCTTTGACCGGGGTTGGTGGGTGTATTCTCATTATCTTACTTGTTGTAGTACCTACGAATTTGTAGGAATATGTTCTGAGGCAGTTTCGCTTCGAGCACTCTGGAATAAATCGGATGAAAGCCTTAACACATAGTTACGTATATTGGCCGAACATGGATAAACAGTTGGGAGAACTTGTCCGAACCTGTTCGAACTGCCAACTGTCTGCAAAATCCTTTCGCAAAACGGTATTGTGCTCACGGCCGTTACTAGACACCGCTTGGTCACGACTTGACTGCCGGACCAATCAATGCCTAACACCATCTGCTCTTGGTTGATGCCTACAGTAAATGGCCGGTAGTTTTCACCATGGATCGTATTACAACTCCTGCTAACATCTTAAAGCTACAGGATGTGTTTAGCCGTTTAGGGTTTCCACACGCTTGTATCGGACAACGATACAGCGTTCACTTCCGTAGCATTCTCCGCTTTTTGTGAACAAAACAGTATCCAGCCTATCCGATCGCCACCATTCCACTCACAATCTAACGGTCAAGTGGAGCGTTTCGTTGGCACTTTCAAGCGATCGTTGTTGAAACTCAAAGGGGACGGAACTAATCCGGATATCATCGAAACCATCCTTCTGAGTTAAAAGTCAACGCGTCATGTGAATGCACCAATAAGAAACTTACCGGCAGAAGCTTTAATGAACCAGAATCTACGCTTACTCTTCGATGTCATTCGTCCAGCTCCACATTTGCCAATCGGTCGAAACATCCGTATGGTGAACCATTTCAACCGTCATCACGGTGCCGTGCATCATACGTTTCACGTTGGTCAATCTATGTTGGCTAAGAATTATCGTGCTGGTGATGAAAAGTGGACGTAGCATCTGATTGTACGCCGCAAAGGTCAGGTAACCTATGAGGTGGATATACACTCCTCAAAATGGGTCCACCATGATAACCAATTACTTTTGTCACCCTGCCTCATCGATATTCTCCTGGATACTTTTGAGCTCCCACATTGGTCCGAAACCCAAGAAAAATCACCTAACTAGTCACTTCAGTCGATTATTCACCTAGGAGATGGACTGATTGATTCAAACACCAGCGGGAGCCTGTACAGCCGTTTCCACTACAGCAATCATATGAAATCCAATCCTAAGGGGAGATGTTAGGATTGCTGCCTTCAAACGAATTCATTCCCTTTGTTCATACTTATGTTCATTAACTACAAGTATATTTTCCTCCATTTCAGCTCGTCACTGATCCTATCCTGGACTTTGACGCTCTTTTCCTTTCCACTGTACTGTGTTCAATATCTCCGGACTTTCCCATTCGGAAATGCATCTTCCATCAGTGCTTGTTCCTCATCTTACCTTCCGTATGTCGACATTGTGATTGCTTGAAAGACACCAAGAACATGACACTAGCGGCGGAGTTCTGAAGCGGATTCAAGTATGTCGTTTACAACTATAGATTTGAAGGTAGTCCTCCAGCAACAACAAAAGCAGTTCGAACAATCTAATTTGCGACTCTATCAAATTCTCGTTCAGTCCCTCTCTCTCCAACCAAAGGTTGCATTAACAAGTAACAGCTCCGTATTTTCAGCCGATTGCATTGCAGCCTCTAACTCAGAGTTTCACTTTGAGCCTACATTTGCTCTCGTTTTCGATTCGTGGTACAAACGCTGGAAGGAGACATTTGAGCATGAGTTTATTGATAAAAGTGGCTCGTGGAAATCCCTGCTCTTAATCCAGAAAAGTGGAACCGTCGAGCACGATCGTTTCGTTAACTTCATTCTTCTTAAGCAACTCAAAGATCTTGATTTTGTGCACACAGTGGAACAATTACGCGAGATTTTCAGCAATCAGCTTTCGATTTTTAACTTCCGGTACAACTGTCTTAAGTTTGCGAAGCGTGATGCGGACGATTACGTCACATACTGTGAACCGTGAGTGCGGAAATTTTCAATTACTGACACTCACCGCAGATCAGTTTAAATGTTTGATTTTCGTTTCTGGTCTTCATTCTCCCCCCCCCCCCAGAGTCGGACGTACGCACTCTACTGCTTTCTCAGCTTGAACACCAACCGGATATCACTATAAAATCTCTTACCACTGTATGTCAACACCTGCTCAGTCTTATGCACGATACCGCCATGGTGCAAGAATCACGAGCATCAACTTCAAGTTGCGTCTATACATCGACATGAACAATTCTCCAGCTAAACAAAAGGCCACCAACTCCTTGTTGGTCATGTGGCGAATGGCATTACGCTCGCTTTTGTGCTTTCAAGAAACATCGATGCCACAAAGAAGGCTTCTGGTGTTCTATAAATGTTTGGAAATCAACCATGCAAAAGAGCACCCACAGTTCAGCCAGAGAAATGTCCAAAGGTAACCATACTAAAAACGTCCTCAGTTTAATTCTGTTTTCAACCTTCAAAGTCGATAAAGAGTTAGATCCTTTTCAACACTCTGGAGTTATTCAGCCTGTCACTTATTCATCGTGGGCAGTTCCTATTATTATCATTAAGAAGGCAAATGGCAAAGTACGTGTATGTGCCGATTACTCGACTGAACTTAACTCTGTGTTAGACTTATGTCGTACCCACTACCAGTTTAAGAGGATTTATTCACTAAACTCAATGGTGGCACATGTTTCGCGAGACTAAATCTTGCCGATACATGAATACAAATGGATGATTGCAATGGATAATTGCAAAGAACTCCTTACGATTAACACAACGCAGGTTATTCCAATTTAATCGTTTACCATTTGGTGTAAAATCGACACCAGTCATATTCTGGCAAACAATGGATTCCATGTTAACTGGGATATCAGGTGTAGATGCTTAATTTGATGATATTATCCTCACGGACTGCAGTCAGGAAGAACTATCACATCGCCTACATTGCGTACACGATCGAATTCAATAATATGGTTTACTATTCGCGTAGAAAATGTATTTTCCTTTTAAACTCCGTTACATATCTCGGATTTGTTTTCGATAAAAGTGGTCGTCATCCCGATCCAGGAAACATTTCTGCCATCCAACAAATGCTCCCCCCCCGGACTGATCTAACTACACTACGGTCTTTTTTCGGATTGGTATTCTATTACATCATTTCCGAGACCCACTCAACCATCTGTTAAAGAAGGATGTGCTGTAAAATTGGTCAAACGAATGCCAGTCCGCCCTTGACAAAAATACATCACTCCTGAATTCTGACTCGCTTCTCACACATTACTACTCCGCTCTGGATATAGTTGTCGTTTCAGACGCTTCCAATTACGGAATCGGTGCTGTCATCTCTCACGTTTTCACACTTGGTTCTGAAATCGCAATCGCTCATGTGGCCAAGTCATTATCTGTTACGGAAAGAGTTATGACCAGGTAGAAAAGGAAGCTCTAGCTATCGTCTTCGCTATCAAGAAGTTTCATAAAATGCTTTATAGATGTTATTTTACCGTCAAAACGGATCCCAAATCTCTACTCAGTATCTTCGGATTCAAGAAAGGTCTCCTAATGTATACAGCTAATCGACTTCAACAATAGGCTGCTATGCTACGGGGGTATGATTTTTCCATTAAACAACAGTCGACTGAGGATATTGGTCAAGCAGATGCTTTGTCACGACTCATGGAATCTCACCACCAACCGCCTGACGATACAGTTGTCACGTCAGTATCCCTAGAGCCAAAAATTCGCACCATGCTTGCTATTTAAGTCCGCGTGCTGCCAATTACCTCTACCATGATCCGTGAGTCCACTGCTCATTATCCGTTGCTACAGGAAGTTATTCGTTTTCATCGCACTTACTGGCCGTCATCGTGCCCTTCTCATCAACTTCAACCTTTCTACCAACGTCGTTCTTTGACCGGGGTTGGTGGGTGTATTCTCATTATCTTACTTGTTGTAGTACCTACGAATTTGTAGGAATATGTTCTGAGGCAGTTTCGCTTCGAGCACTCTGGAATAAATCGGATGAAAGCCTTAACACATAGTTACGTATATTGGCCGAACATGGATAAACAGCTGGAAAAACTTGTCTGAACCTGTTCGAAACGCCAACTGTCTGCAAAATCCTCTCGCAAAACGGTATTGTGCTCACGGCCGTTACTAGACACCGCTTGGTCACGACTTGACTGCCGGACCAATCAATGCCTAACACCATCTGCTCTTGGTTGATGCCTACAGTAAATGGCCGGTAGTTTTCACCATGGATCGTATTACAACTCCTGCTAACATCTTAAAGCTACAGGATGTGTTTAGCCGTTTAGGGTTTCCACACGCTTGTATCGGACAACGATACAGCGTTCACTTCCGTAGCATTCTCCGCTTTTTGTGAACAAAACAGTATCCAGCCTATCCGATCGCCACCATTCCACTCACAATCTAACGGTCAAGTGGAGCGTTTCGTTGGCACTTTCAAGCGATCGTTGTTGAAACTCAAAGGGGACGGAACTAATCCGGATATCATCGAAACCATCCTTCTGAGTTAAAAGTCAACGCGTCATGTGAATGCACCAATAAGAAACTTACCGGCAGAAGCTTTAATGAACCAGAATCTACGCTTACTCTTCGATGTCATTCGTCCAGCTCCACATTTGCCAATCGGTCGAAACATCCGTATGGTGAACCATTTCAACCGTCATCACGGTGCCGTGCATCATACGTTTCACGTTGGTCAATCTATGTTGGCTAAGAATTATCGTGCTGGTGATGAAAAGTGGACGTAGCATCTGATTGTACGCCGCAAAGGTCAGGTAACCTATGAGGTGGATATACACTCCTCAAAATGGGTCCACCATGATAACCAATTACTTTTGTCACCCTGCCTCATCGATATTCTCCTGGATACTTTTGAGCTCCCACATTGGTCCGAAACCCAAGAAAAATCACCTAACTAGTCACTTCAGTCGATTATTCACCTAGGAGATGGACTGATTGATTCAAACACCAGCGGGAGCCTGTACAGCCGTTTCCACTACAGCAATCATATGAAATCCAATCCTAAGGGGAGATGTTAGGATTGCTGCCTTCAAACGAATTCATTCCCTTTGTTCATACTTATGTTCATTAACTACAAGTATATTTTCCTCCATTTCAGCTCGTCACTGATCCTATCCTGGACTTTGACGCTCTTTTCCTTTCCACTGTACTGTGTTCAATATCTCCGGACTTTCCCATTCGGAAATGCATCTTCCATCAGTGCTTGTTCCTCATCTTACCTTCCGTATGTCGACATTGTGATTGCTTGAAAGACACCAAGAACATGACACTAGCGGCGGAGTTCTGAAGCGGATTCAAGTATGTCGTTTACAACTATAGATTTGAAGGTAGTCCTCCAGCAACAACAAAAGCAGCTCGAACAATCTAATTTGCGACTCTATCAAATTCTCGTTCAGTCCCTCTCTCTCCAACCAAAGGTTGCATTAACAAGTAACAGCTCCGTATTTTCAGCCGATTGCATTGCAGCCTCTAACTCAGAGTTTCACTTTGAGCCTACATTTGCTCTCGTTTTCGATTCGTGGTACAAACGCTGGAAGGAGACATTTGAGCATGAGTTTATTGATAAAAGTGGCTCGTGGAAATCCCTGCTCTTAATCCAGAAAAGTGGAACCGTCGAGCACGATTGTTTCATTAACTTCATTCTTCTCAAACAACCCAAAGACCTTGATTTTGTCACACAGTGGAACAATTACGCGAGATTTTCAGCGATCAGCTTTCGATTTTCAACGCTCGGCACTACTGTCTTAAATTGGCTAAGCGTGATTCGGACGATTACGTCACATACTGTGAACCGTGAGTGCGGAAATTTTCAATTACTGACACTCACCGCAGATCAGTTTAAATGTTTGATTTTCGTTTCTGGTCTTCATTCTCTCCCCCCCCCCCCCCCAGAGTCGGACGTACGCACTCTACTGCTTTCTCAGCTTGAACACCAACCGGATATCACTATAAAATCTCTTACCACTGTATGTCAACACCTGCTCAGTCTTATGCACGATACCGCCATGGTGCAAGAATCACGAGCATCAACTTCAAGTTGCGTCTATACATCGACATGAACAATTCTCCAGCTAAACAAAAGGCCACCAACTCCTTGTTGGTCATGTGGCGAATGGCATTACGCTCGCTTTTGTGCTTTCAAGAAACATCGATGCCACAAAGAAGGCTTCTGGTGTTCTATAAATGTTTGGAAATCAACCATGCAAAAGAGCACCCACAGTTCAGCCAGAGAAATGTCCAAAGGTAACCATACTAAAAACGTCCTCAGTTTAATTCTGTTTTCAACCTTCAAAGTCGATAAAGAGTTAGATCCTTTTCAACACTCTGGAGTTATTCAGCCTGTCACTTATTCATCGTGGGCAGTTCCTATTATTATCATTAAGAAGGCAAATGGCAAAGTACGTGTATGCGCCGATTAC